TTTATATGGCCTGCACTTGGTCCAAGGGGACAGAGTGGGGCGTAGAGTGTGGAGTGTGGGGAGGGGGTAGGCGCTTTGAGCCTGGTTTTAAAAGCCAAACTGCAGAAAATTACAAGAAAATCGTGCAACTCTTGTTTGCTCAAAAAGGCATGAAAAGCCGAAATGCAGCAGGCAACTAGCAACAGGCAGCAACGCCCCCAGCTCGCCACCCTCCCCCCGTATGTCTATCTGCTAGCACAGCTGAAGACTTTCCAACGCTGATTTCAACAAATTTAAACGTTACATGCGAGTAGATTTCAACGCTATCATCGATTTCTCGTGCACCCACACACACACACACATAAGCAAGAGCAGCAGCCGCAGTTGCCTCCGAACCTAGAGTTGGTCTGCTGCTTGCAGCATGACGCAACTGCAACTCCTTGCCCTCAGGTGTTGTGCGGACGGCATTTTTGTTATTGAAGCTTTTCACTTTCCGCCTTGGCCAATTGGCCAACGTTTGTTCAACTTCCAACGTCCAACAATCAACATGCAACATTCAACATTCAATGCCGCATGTCGAACACTGCAACACCAAAACGTCGAACAAAGTTAGTCATTTAGTGACTTTTGCCCGAGATTTGTGTGATTTCAAGCCGATTGCCGAAAATAAAAAAGCAGCAAAATAAGAAGAAAAAATAAAAAACAAAAAATAACTGCAACTGTCATTTTCGATTGGCGACCTGCTGGGCTTGCCCCACGTTGCACAAACATTTTCCTTATATTTTTTTTTTCTCGGCCTGTCTGCCTTGTCGAGAGGCAAAATGTCAATTTGCGTTGTTTACTTTTAAAAACTTTAATTTTTGTCTTCTGATTTTTATTTTGGTTGCCGTTGTTGTTGTTGTTGTTGGAGGTCTTTTGAGTTGCATTCGTCGCGCCTTCAATTGCCGCAATTTAGCTCGCTGGCCCCATTGGCATTAGCCGCGCTATTGAGTGTTAATTAAGCGTTTATTCAACATTCGGTGTCAAAGTTGTCTTTAAAGAGCCGAAAATTAATGCCATTTTGTGTCGTTTGCTGCCATTGTTATCAATTTGAAAAACTTTAGCTTCGTTACCGATTTCCATTTCCGATTGCGTTTTTCGTTTTCGATTTTGGCCACAAGCCTCAAAAGTCTTAAAGACACAAAATCATCGATCATCGCGTTCCCCCGTTTCCTCCTCAATGCCAACGGGCTGTTTTTCGCTTTGATATGGATATGAATATGACGGATTGCCCAGCCATACACATTATACCTGTCTGAGTCACGAACCCCTTTAATTTGATTTTAATGAGCCTCAACGATATACGGCCTGCTGCTAATAACAGAGAAATTGCCAAAATCGACCAAATTAAATTTACATGTTTGCGCATAATATGACAGATTTGCGTATTATTGTCATAATTAGATTTCATGCATGCGAATTTGTGCATATTTTAATACAAATAACTGCCAAACATAATCACAATATCCGCTTTGTGTGGGCCAATTGGGAAATCAATTATTTCTCAACAATAGCAGCGGGATGAGCAATTAGTAGTTCAACATAAGTTATCTATATAAAATGTTTGAATATGCTTTAGGACTTTAGGTTATTTTCCAATATTTTATAAGCTATATATAAACTTAGTATATTATTTAATGATATAGACAATGAAGCTGGTATTTTGTGCAAAATTTCACAATTGCCAATCAAGAATCATTTTGTTAACACATTAATTTGTCGACAAGTTTCTTGTACTCTCTTTCAATTTGTTGGCGTTGCAAGGCACACTATATATAATTATGTACGACAAATTTGCAGACTGGTGAACATAGCAAATGCAACGGTAAATTCATATTATCAGCAAGCCTGGTTGCGTGCTGAAACTAAGCCAAGCTAACGGACGCGACAAACTGATAAGCATCTGCAACAGCAACAGCAACAACACCAGGCACAATAGCAGTCATCAGAAGTTGCATACTGCTGCCGGCTCCCCCAACAACCCCAAACACCATCTCCGCCCCTACAACTTACAATGTGCCAGTTAGGCAGTCAACTAAGAGTATCTGTGTGTATGTGTGTGTGTGTGTGTATGCGTGTGTTAAAGCGGCAACACTTTCAAACAACTTTATCACGACTGAATCTCAACGGTGACTGACTGAACTGACTGACTGACTGACTGACTGACGTGGACTTGATTGAAATGCGAAAGCGCGTCGACATGCCGAGTGGGTGGCTGTTGGGTGCACAATGGGAACAACATTCGGATACGGCAATGGGCAATGCTTGCAACATGCATGCTGCCTGCTGCTGCATGCTGTATGGTGCGTATGTATTAATTAGTGTCAAGTGTTGTCGCTTTGAGTTACGCGCCCGAGGGATTGCCATTGCCGGCGTCATCATCCTTACTGCAGCGATAAAACAAAGCGATAGTAACACTAACAGCAACGACAGCAACTTGTTTGCCCAAGCCGGCTGCTGCCACAGTTAATGCTCCCGAATGCTGGCCTACCTACCAGCCTGCCTGCCTGCCTGTCTGCCTGCAGCTAGTAGCTGCTTGCTCCGGCTCTGCGTAATCGATGATGACATGTTTTGCCTTTGCGCATGCGCAGTTTTCTAGCCGCTTAGTTGTTGATGCCGCTGCTGATGCAAGTTGCAGAGGAGCCGCACACAAAATGACAGCCAAAGCTGACAGAGGCTCTGTTCAAAATATAAACATACTCTTACCACTACGTCTACGACGACTAAAACTATTTTTGCGCATCCAATTACATTTATATGCTCGTAAACTAAAAATTCTGTCCAGCTTGTGGTCGGCAGTAATTATCAGACAGATAGCGACTTCTGAACATGTATGCCACATGGGTGTGCTGAACAAATCGCACTTAAAAACGTTTCTTTAAATTTATGGACTTACAGCTTTGCAGTTTCCTGTACAGCCCCAAGAACACAAGTCATAAAAAATATATTGAAAAATTTGATTTAAAATTGTAATGAACAAAATCAAAGCAATCTTTAGAATACAAATAAGCCAACTTCTAAAGATGCTATTATAACTAAACTCTAGGGTCACTCAATTAATATCACACATCTTATCTAAACAAATATACAAACGAAAAAAAAGCAACAAAATTTAAATAAAAAATCTATTAATTATGAAACTGACTATATGTGTAGCTACAAATTTGGGAGACTTGCCGCCTCAGTGAGTCGACAGTTAATTATTGAATTCTGTCAGCTGAAACATTAATTATAACTGTTTGCCATGTGTTAAGATTTATGATTTACAAGATAGTTGAGTGTTCTTACTTAATCACAATGGAATGTGATTTTATCGTAAGATTTAGGAGAATAATCTAAAATTGGTTGATAAAACTCTGTTAAATTTTTCATTTAAATTTTGTAGAACAGCATCTTTGTATCCAGAAGTGGAGTGAAATGTGATTTTAATTTAAGATTGTGAGCTTGTGCTGAATAGCTTTGGAAATGAAGAGTGATTTGTGGGTACATAATTTATATAAATAATGTGAAAAGCAGCTTTTGAATAAATATTGCTTCCATTATTCATAGCCAAAACTCATAGCTTTGGGATATAACATGAATACTTCAAAATATTACATAGCATAAAAAGTCTTATATTGTGCGTAGTTAAAATTCATACAAGATTTTATTAAACTAAAACACCTACTCTTGGCTATGACCACACTTGGGCTTCACAGGCCATCAAAAGAAAAATAATAACTTAGTAGAACACATGTTAGATCCCAAACGACGCTCCCAGTTAAGCACCTGAACGGCAATTCGAACCTAATGGAAATCGCAACCACTGATTGGTTTTTACCAAACGTAGATTGGTAAGAAAATAAAAATAAAAATAAAAAAAGAAAGAGAAAAAAGGTCTTACATATTTTATATTGCAGTGGTGTGAAAATGGTTTGGCCTGCAGGCGGCAGCAGTAAATGCGGCAGCTTTAGTTATGTGGCACCTACGATAAGGCGAGTGCACACTCCCAATAACAATATACGTCATATGGGCAGGAACACTTATGGCCAACGAAAGATATTGCAGTTTTTATGTACTTCTGTTGTTTCTCGTTACTAGTTCACGAGCTGCTGGTAGCTGAGGTGCCTGTGGTGGCTGGGGCTGTAGTGGTGCCAAGGCTACTTGTAGATATATAGATAGATAGTGGCAATTAAAATTCCGCTACTAATACGATATCTTAAGCATGAAATTAAAACATGTTTTTTCAATCATTTTCATTAATGATTTGGTACGAGCTATTGAAATTTTCGGTTAATAATCAATTACGTGTTGTCATTGACCTTCAATCTAAGCCAAACATCTAGCGGCTTTTATTTCATATTTATAGATATATGTACATCCATCCACGCCCAGTCCTAATAGCCATGGCAATTACCTTATTATAAAGCGGCTTAACTTTTATTTTCTTCTATTTATGAAATTTTAATTTGATATTTCAACATAGTTGTCAATCAAAGCAGCCGTTGCTGCCACGTTATTTCTTTAATAAGACATAGAGCTGCCGTTTTTGGAGCCATTGTAGTTTTAACTACCTTCACGAACCCGGCCCTTTGGCATATATGCTTGGAGTTTTTTCTTTTTTTTTGGTTCGCGTTGTTAATTTTATCGTTAGCTTTTTTTCTTGTCGCTGTTTGCGGCTGCCGTTTGACATGATGATGGCGATGTTGATGATGTTGATGGGTTCCCGCCGAGCCCGCTTCAAACACACTTCACATCATTTGGACAGTCAGCAGCCGTTGAAATCTTTTGGGCCCAGCCCACGCACTTGTCATAATAGATTCATTTATGATGTTATTTGAATTTTTTTCGATTAATGCTGTTCGTATTATTTTGAATGCTCATAAAAATGCAGGTTGCTTTTCGGGGCGTCAAGCTGTAAGCTGCTTTCGGCTCTGAACAGTCTTAAATGTTGGTCTTTACTTATTAAATCAAAAAATGGGCATTCATATTATTGTACATACCTCATAAATACATGAACGTGTTCTGAAATGGCAAAGAGTATTTAAATTTAAAATACATTGTAGAATAATTAAATAATAGGATTCACAGTACTTTTCATTTTTGCCATGAATGAACATTTTTTCTATCATAAAATACAATTTTCGTATTAATCGAGTTAAAAGTGCAACAGAGAAATGCCTGCTGATTAAATTTGTGTATAAATTTCACTTTGTGATTGTTGGTTTTATGAAATCAACGATCAATTGTGTTATTTTTTTTTTAAATGCCATCGAATCCTTGAATAAATGGAAGCGTGACTGTACCAAATTAAGAGCTGTAAAATTAATGTGAAACAGAAATTAAGCACTTGAAAAGTGTTGCCTACGCCAGGGCGTTCGAGGACCATAACCAACACATTCTAATGAGCACACACACACACACACACATGTGTACACAAAATTTGTGAAGTACATGTCGCGACGATGACGAGACGGATCTGCCACCATGCCATGCCAGGCCGCACCACGCCTCCATCCTCAAGTCACCAACTCAAGGGAACGTCTGCATTGCAATTTGATTCGTTTCGTGGACAGAGTCTAGAGTTTGAGCTTGGAGTCTGTGACCGTCTGCGGCTGGGTCTGTCTAGCCAGAAAAGATTGCGTTAAATGCAGCTATTGTTGTTCTTGCTGATGTTGTTGTTGTTGTTGCTTTTGGGGGCCTGAATGTCTCTGAGGCGCAAGACAATTGAGTCTGAGAGCGTAATTTGCAACTGCCTGAGACACGAAACGTCCGTCGACGGCGGCGATGACGAGCCTGCTCAGGATGCAGGCCCATATCCGACTGGCTGCCTGGCTGCCTGGCTGCCTGGCTGGCCTTAAGTGCAAGCTGGAGCCAAGTGCAGCAGCGCCTAATGACTGGGGGAGGGGACAGCGAGAGAGAGAGAGAGAGAGAATTGTCGACCGCTACGCCTACTACCCCCAAGCTCTATAATCCATCCAGTTTCCCTACATTCTACCTCAAACTACCGCTGGCTGTGACTCCGACTGCGACATGTTGGCTGTTGTTTTTTGCCCAGATGCATTTTGCATCCAAAGCGTTGCAGCAAGCAAATGCACCAAAAAAAAAAAGTATAAAAAACAGAAAAAAATACAACAAAAAACGTGCAACGACAACAACATGACGAAAAGTGTGTGCACAGTAGCCAGAGAGACGCAGAGTTGGAGCTGAAGCTGGCGCAGACATCGTCCTGTGGCATAACCAACAGGCGTTAATAATCTTCTTTTTTTTTACATTTTAAAAAAATGCAACGAGTTTTTTTTTTTTTACTTTTTTTGTGTTTTGTTGAGAGGGGGCTGCTGTTTTTATACCCTGTAAGCTGGGCAAAGCTATATTAGGATAAGGTTAACTGAGGAACCGATAGTGATTTCTAATTCAAACACTTAATTAACCTATTTTGCGTGTGAGGCAATACTAATTAAATATGTGTGACTTGTTTCTGAAACTCGTTAAAGTTCTGCCAAGGGTATGTTCTAGTCGTATAATCTTTGCTTAATTGCATGTGCAGTTTTATTTTTTCAAGTTATTCCTTTTGGACCTCGGATTTCAGGATTTATTTCGAAACTTTTTCATTTTGTGCAGTCAGACGACGTCGTCATAGAGAGTGCATTGACTGAAGTCTGCAAAACCAACAAAAAAACAGAAAAAAAAAACAGAAAAACGACGAAAACATCTAGAGTGTGGCCCAAGCTGGAGCCTAGCTGAGTCTAGGCAACTGCATCCTTTGTTGATATGTTGCGACATGCATTGCTCTGGAGGAGTTTGCAAAGTCAGAAGTAGAATGAAAAGATGGAATGAGGCGCTGCAGTTCAGTAGCTGGCAGCTTTTGTGTGTCTTTTGGAAAACGCTTTAGCCACAGCAAGGAAAAGTTTTCCATAATTAACGCTTAGCTTTTGGCTTGGCTCACTTAAGTGTTATTAGTTCGGGCCAGGTTTATTTCGGCATTGTGCGCTGTAACCGACGGGGCAACAAGAGCCGCAGATGCCACACAGGAAATGCATGAGAAGTCGTTGCACTTGTGCAAATTGTGCGCTCGCCCAACTCCCCACATACACATACACACACACAACCACACACGCACACTTGAGTCTGCACTAAAAGTTGAGGGAACAGAGCAGCAAAGTCAAACAGTTGTTCTGACGGGCCCCTGAAACGATTCCTGCCACGACTCCTGGCCAGCTGTCCGAAATGAAATTCGTTTAAGTGACGTAAATCATTAAAATGGCAGCAGACGCCACCAACGAAATGGCCAAAAGAAAACATTTGCGAAATTTCAGCACCAGTGAAGCCTGAAACAAAGGAATATGCACAAAAATAACTGAAATGCGAGCGCCCAACACACAACCAACACACACAGCTTAAAATACATTTAATAGGAGCATTTCCTTTTTTTCGCTTGAAAAACTTGCCACGCCGTGGCGGCAAGGAGCTGCAGGAAACTTGCTGCGGATTGTTTATTTCATTTCATTTTGTATATTTTTTATTCTTATTGTCTCAGTGGTTATTAGTCCGCGGTTGCACGCGAATTTGCTTTGGTTGCTTTGTTGACTTTGTTTTGTGCTTTGTATTTTTATGCGCGTTTTTCAGTTCAATTAGCTGCACAAAAGTTTAGCAAATGTATGCAGAAATTTAATTATTGTTGACACAAGTTTCGACTGTGAATTGAATTGAATTAAATTGAATTGAATTATTGACTTGAGAGGAAATAAGCGGAAGATAAAGGCAGAGTGAATGATCGAGAGAGGCAAAGAGATAGTAGAAAAGTCACGCAGACACAGCAAGAAACTTAGCAACAAGCAATGACTTACAATTTTAAAGTAGGAAAACATTTCAATTTGTATTATCAACGTTTAACTTTACCTTTTTCATTAACTTTATTAGTTTAGCTTTCAATTCCAATACTATTATCGAGCTTAATTAGTTCAACTATTTTGACATATTTTCTTATATTTCTAGTAAGTCATTTTTCAATTTAACGAAAAGCTAATAAACCTTTGGTCTAACTTTCACATACTGGCAGCACAGGCCACCAGCACCAGGCCAATTTTTCCTGTGCGGCAGGTACAACCTCTTTCAGCGCACTCGACAAATACCACACACTCGAGAACAGTCAATAACTCACTGTGAGTCCGCTACATTTGCCACGTTTCCAAATGTCAGACGAAACAGAAACGGAGCATTTCTATAGCAAGTCGCTAAAATAGAGCTGGAGTTGGAGTTGGAGCGGCCTTTCAATTGGACTTGCTTTCCCAATTCGCCATTTGAGTGGCCACATAGAGGCCACTCACGGGGCCAGGCCAAATGGAAGTCAATGTTGCTGTTGAAGCCTTTCAAGCGTTAAAACATAAAAATGTCATTAACACTCAACAGATTTCTGGTGCACGGCGACCCAATGGCCAACAGTGACAACAACAGCAACAACAACAACAGCAACAACAGCAACAGCAACAACACTAACAACAAACGGCTTAAATGGCCAATAACAAATTGTTGCAAATGTGCAAAAAACGACCAAACAAGCCACAAAGAACGCAACGTCTAAAAAGCACCAATGGGAATAGACTTAGACATATTTTTGCAGTTGTTGTTGTTGTTGTTGCCGTTGTTGTTTTCCATTTCGCTGTTGTTTTAGCGTAGACGAAAATTTATTTGACGCCTAACTCGACTTGCAGACAAGAAAATGACACAGAAACCGAGTTAACTTCAAAACGCGTTTAGGTGAATTGCGAGCTCAACACGAGGCCTCAACCCCGGGCAGCCCCCAAGCATAACCCAGTACTACTCCCACCCCTAACCCCCCACCACTACCCCCTGCCTAGCCTAAGGCAGCACGTTTATTGTCGCGCGGGGATATCATTTACGCCATAATTTTCACAGTTGCATATTTCGCTTAATGGTTTTTAATGAGCGGTTCGAAACGCCGCTCAGCACAAAAAGGTGTTGAGAAATATGCCTGATTTATAGAAACTGCAGCCTGTATTTAACGAACACAGCCGCAGTCATTTCAATCGACCTGCTGTTGCTGCCCAACACTGAGGTGGAACGAACAACCTACATTGTTGCTGTTAATACCCATAGTTTGGCCGTGCAGATAACCGCCTGAATCTGGGACAGCTTAATGGGCCTTCTGGCTTGGTGTGAAAGTGTATTTTATAGTGCCAAGATCATTTTCACTATATACCCATTTCTAGATAGATGGCTGCTTTTATTTCAGATGAGCTGGAATCAATAAGTTAAAAAAGATAGATCAGCATTCTAACATAAGAAATGAATATTCATTTGTTTTAATTTGGATATTTATTTAGTTGAGAAATAAATTATACTGTCTCAGGCACATTTTTTTCAAGAATTAAGTTCACTGCTTGCAAATTTACAATTTCAATGGCAACTTCAAATTACAAATACAGTTACTTAGAGCGCCTGCTTGGCTCTACTCTTACTAGATGGATAACGCCCACTTTTTCCATGTTCAGGAACTGGCTGAATTATTCTGCTTTTCGCAGTGTTACTTTGTAGCAAGCTGTGCGTTTATCAGGTAGAATTATTTAATGAGGGTAATTAATGTAAAATGTGAGTATGTTTGCAGTTCTCACCATTAGCTTTGGCAACGTGTCTAATTTATAAGAGCCACTTCCTAGTCTAATGCATTTATATTAAATTAATCGTTTAGGTTTCAAATTAATTTTAATTACGCCAACTGGAGAGACCTGCTGACTGGCTGCATGCTCCTTAGATCCAGCTACGATATGCTCATAAACGTGTGCTATAAATGGTCGCACAGCGGAAACAACATCAACAACATCGATACTAACAACAACTGTTGTGTTGAGCAACATCAGCAATATTAACAAGAACAAGAACAAGAACAAGAACAAGAGAAGCAGAACGCAGAACGTGTTGCAAGTGAAGCATTTTGGATTTTTCAATTGAGCGATAATTCGTTGCCGCATCAGCATTGGCTGTGCACTTTGTGAAACATGGAATTG